CACAGAGAGAACATGCAAACTCCACCCAGAAAGGCCTCTGGACTGGGGTTTGAACCAGGGACCTGCTTGCTGAGAGGCAGCAGCTCTACCAGTTGCGCCACCGTGCTGCCCTTATATATATATTTTTTTTTTTTTCTATTTTTTTAATGACGGCAAGTATGAATTTTGACATGCAAAAAGGTTTAAGGTTTAAGTTGCTCTAATATGTGGGTTTGACATTATGTCTCATTACATTACAACTGTTGGGTGAATTAATAGATATAAACAGGTTAATAAATACTCGTTGATCTGCTGTAGTGGTTTTCTTACCCAGGGTATGGTCAGTGTTGTAGTGGGCTAATGTTTTATGCTGGACCCACTCAGAGGGAGCACCAAAGCCAACAATGGTTCCAGCTGATATCCTCAGACGGTACATCCGGTTCGGATGAAGTTCTCTTAGTGTAAACTGAGTCTCGTTTCCTCTCACCTCCACTGAGAATACAGTGTCCACTGTAAAACACACATAATGCAAACATATGTGTATGGAAATCTTTTTTATTTTTATTTTGTACAGTTTTTATGCTGTGGCGGAGTTTTCAGTGAAGCTGCACAGGTATGATTAGCTTAGATTAGAGAAATGAAGATATATTTTTTAATAACACGGTGCCCTTACTGAATTAATTCACATATGGAATGGAAAATGGATTGTACTTATATAACGCCTTTCTATCTTATAAAGATACTCAAAGCACTTTCTGTGCCCTCATTTACCCATTCATACAACACTATTCTATATTTTACAAAGACTAATCAGAGCTTTATCACATTCATACACTGATGAGACACACATTGGAGGCAATGAGGGGTTCAGTGTCTTGCCCAGCGACACTTCAGCATGTGACCAATGGTGGAATCAAACCCCCAACTCTCCCAATGGCGGATGACTGCTCTAACCACTCAGCTACAGTTGCCCCAAAATATGCATACTATAGTCTTTCTCTCATTAACTTATGCTATAGGAAGAAGCACTAACGATTGGTGGTATTAGAACAATCGGTACGTCAATGTCCCCATTGCTGAGGTATTTGAATAGTGAAAGTTTGTAGATTTTAAGATAAGTGGTTTTCATAGACTGGAATTGAGCAGGAAACACAAGTAAACTTTAATATTTTTGGTGCAAAATATTCCAGAATGTAGGAGTTACACTGTGTGTCAGTATACATTTAAGTTTTTGACTATTTTTACGTGTTCAAAGCGGTGCAGAGTGACAGATTCTGGTGAGTGGAGGAATCAATTTTATTCATGACCAGACAAATGGCAGAGCCAGGGGGTGGCCAACAGTGGCCTTGGCCACAATACATTATGATTTGGTCACCCCAAGGGCCACCCCAATCATTTGAGAAATTTACACTTTCAAGCAATATAAAAACTAGAAAGCATAGTTTCCTCAAACAATAGGGACTGTCAGTTTACATATACATACGGCGATGACTGTCTTGGATTTTGACAGGGCAACCCAATATGTGATAGTGACCTTTCTTACACCCAGATCTAGCCACATATTAAAATGGAACTTGGTACCTCACTTAATTGTCATAAGATGGACAGACATTCATGGCGGTAAGTTATTATGCTCACATGGACGGATGGAAAAAAGGATGAATGGTATTTCCAATAAGCCCTTTTTACTCCACAATGGAGAACAAAAATACTCAGATAGAATTAATAAAGTTAATCAACAAAAATATGATAGAAATTCAGGAGTTTTACACACAACAGTAAGTTATACTGTCCTTTTCCACAACAGGACTGAAGTGTTACAAAAATTATTTGTTACACACCCTGATCCAGGGGGTTGTAATCAATTCGGTAGCGGGTAACAGCTCCTCGACTGTGTTGGGAGGACAGCGGATGCCACGTCAGCCTGATGTTGGTGGGAGTCATACTAACGACAGACAGCTGGGGAGGCACACTCGGCACTGTGGGGGACAAAAAGGGAACATAGTAATTAACTGAGTTTACCATTCTTGCCCGTCCTAAAGTTCTGCATAGGTTCTAGACAGCAGGATATTACAAAGTGTAGCAATTTTTATTTTAGTGAAACATTTAAAACATTTTACCAGAACAGGGTTTTGCTAAGAGAAAATTGTAACAGACATATGCAAAATAAAACAAAAATATATAGTTAGTCACATTTTAATTGAACTACTTCTTATAATTTTCAAATGACCACACTGAAACTGATCATTAGTCTCTTAAAGTCCATAGGAAGGCCCAAGTTGGTCTTATTTATTTTTACCTGTGTTGTGTGCTGTTGTTCTTTACTTGTGCAGTAGTTTATTCACTCACCGTCCTCCAGCATCTCCACAGTGACAGGCAGCGAGGGGGGGCTAGCTCCCATGGGAGCGTATGCCACAACGAAGAACGTGTAGGCAGTATGAGGGAGAAGCTCTTTGAAGAGATACTCTGTCGTCTCATTGTTTACAGCAAACCGATCCTCCACGTTGTCAAAACCTAAATTGAGGTAAAAATATTCATCTTTAAAATGTAGACCTGCTCACCTCATGACCGTACACTTTCAGTGCAGGACACCCACCTGCAGTGTGCTGGAAGTGCACAGAGTAGGCGATAATTTGGTCCGAGTTATACTCAGGCTTCTCCCAGGTGAGCAGGGCAGTGGTGCTGGAGTACGGCGTTGCAGACAGGTGGCGAGGAGGGCTGGGCAGTCCCTCCCTCACAATGACCGTCAGCTTGGCAGTGGCACAGGCTGTGCCGAGCTCACTGTCAGCTATGCACTGATAGTAGCCGGCATCTTCCAGAGCCAGCTGGTTGATGAGCAGCACTCCGGGACTTTGCGTCTTCACCCGTCTGAACGGCTTGATGAGCTGGCCATCCTTCAGCCAGCGCAGCACAGGAGGAGGCTCCCCGGAGCTGTTGCACAGAAATCTGGCTGTATTTCCTCGAGACAGGGACACTGACTCTGGGGGCTGAAGAATCACCGGAGGGGCTAAAGAACGAAGGAAGCAAAACGCTCACATGAACAAGATAAACCTCCAGAGAACATTTTGAAAGTCATTTTGTACATTTTAAAAGAACACCAAAAATTGTTGCTCTATTTCATAGAAAGATCTTTTCAGTGTTGTCCTACATTTGCAAATAGAATACACCACTTTTTGTAACAAGGGTGTTATATATAGGTTAAACCAAAATGAAACACCGTGTATAGGTCCCTCAGAGGGACTGACCAGTGGCTGGTGCTTAGCTTCAACTGTGTAAAGTATCAGTTAAACATATTTCATAGTACTCTCAATAACACCATTCTAAGAAATGGATCAGATACTCTCAACAGGGAGGCTTCAGAGAGTAGTCAAGACAGCACTAAAGATAAGTGGCTGCTCTGTCCTCTCCCTGATGGACATTTACACATCACGCTGCATCAACAGAGCAAAAAGCATAATCAAGGACAGTTCTCACCCGGGTTATCAACTGTTTGACTTGTTACCTTAAGGGAAGCGCTATAGGTGCATCAGAACAAGAACAAACAGGTTCTTTCCCCAAAGCCATCCCCACATTGAACTCACACATGCACTGATTTAATAATCTAACGTCCCAAACCTCTGGACTTCTATTGTGCAATACTACTAACATGTCATACTCTTAATTAGCTTACCTCTTAATTACCTTACTAATAGCCATAATGTGCAATATTCAAATTTATATAATTGTGAAATAACTTTTATGTTTTACTTTCATAGTGCTATATCTATATTGTGTTATATTTATTAGATATGTTTTTAAGCATGTTTGCACTGAAAAAGGAGTGACTCTCAATCTCATTGTACTTGTATAATGACAATAAAGGCATTCCATTCCATTATAAATATAATTTTAAACAAAATCACATTACTCTTACCAAGCACATGCAGCTCAGCAGCACCGATGACAAATTCTCTAGTCCTGGGCTTGTTGGCTCGGCAGACATAGACGCCAGAATGGTGACGCCTCGTGTCCCGTATCACCAGGTTAGTAGCAAGTACAACCACATCAGTGGAAATGGGCTTTCCGTCTGATCAAAAGAGAAAACAACTTAAGGCATGAGAGTCCAACGAGAGATCTAATAGATGGGATAAAATTATGCTGGTCTTGAAAGGAGGAGAGATCATTCATCAGTTTTTCATGACCTTACACACAGAATGAAGGGAGAGGAAATTCAGAACGCAAACTATCGGACATGTCATCTCACCATTTGACCAACAAGTGGCTCTATGGCTTCTCAGTCAGAGTTCAACAAAACATACTGACATTTATGAATTATTCAAATATGTCTATGTTTTGCATTAATAAAACATAAATACCCCTATTCACTTTACCCACCAATGTGTGGAAAGAAGATTTTCTTAACATTCTTAATGTATCAATGAAACAAAATGCTGATAATAGTGTCTGCAAAAGAATCCAGCTCAAACCTTTACTGCAAAACAAACAAGCAACAATGTTAACATCATAAAATGTTTGAGTGATTTGGTATACAGAAAATTGTAAACGAGGGAGTGACTGCTGAAGCAGGACAAGACTGGAGAAACCACACAGTGGCAGAGGACATTTCATTTTTAAATTGTGCAATTTCCATAAAAAAAAAAAAAGAAAACCGCCGTAAGACCCTGTGCGTGCTGACGTGAAAATAAACCAATATGATAAATAAACTCATGTAAATCAAGAAACCTACAGAAGATAACCAGTGAGACAAAAATACATATGTAGAAACAATATGTATGTGCCTTTTTCTGAAACACGTATAACAGCTTAAATAAAAGTGATGAACTAATGTGCTGTAAACAGATGGATGGGACAAAACAAGTGAGGGCCTTTGTGAGTTGTACCTCGTCTGCTCCAAGACACCAGTGGTTTTGGGTGACCTTGTGCCATACACTCCATCACAGCAGGGTGGCCAAGCATGACGGTGGCATTCTGAGGCGGTGCGACGATAACGACAGAGCTCAGGGCATCTTTAGGGACTGTAACAACAAAAATGTGTGCTGAAGCCTGAACAAGAACTGTTTTAATAGGACCTTTGAATTTGCTGTTAAGGTTGTTCTATGTTTGTTTAATTTGACAATCAAAACCCAAAAGTGATTTGAATCTTTGATGACCTGAACCACAAGTTCTACAATGTTATCACATTTTGGTTGCCAGCGTGAACTTTGCTGTGTATAAGAAAATCTTTGCGTTCTATCTAATTTGAAGGAAACCAGTATTTAAAATAAAAAAAAGGGTTTTAAGCTCAATCATCATGGTAGATAACAACACAAAAAATTAAATCATGTAATCTGGACCAGTTTCTTTAAGTGAGAAACCTTTTGTCCCCCATCCAGAGAACTTCCTCAGTCTATGATCTGCCAACCAGATCTGTCCCATAAGTAGCCTTCACTGCTGTGTTTCAAGCCAACTTCCTGTTGGAATCTCAAAAGTAGGCTTTTAACACATGCACAACACACCCATCCAAAACAATTAATCATCATATCCTGATGCATGCTCAATAATCCAGGTAGAAACATCTAAAAAAGTTAAGTCTAGTCCTCTGGACATTCAAAAAACAAAATAAAGCAAAACAACAAATAAAGGGGAGCAATATTATAGGCAGAAACATGGGTGTGCTATGGGGTCTCCAGTTTCTCCTATTGTTGCCAACCTGTACATGGAGGAGGTAGAAAAGAGAGCCTTGACGTCCTTTTCAGGGACATTACCAAGTCATTGGTTCAGGTATGTTGACGACACCTGGGTTAAAATTAAATCTCAGGAAGTCCAACATTTTACTGACCACATCAACTCTGTGGATAAATGTATAAAGTTCACACGAGAAGATGTAAAAATGGCAGGTTGGCTTTGTAGGCCTGTGAGGCCTCAGTCTCTGATAGAGGACATTCGCAAACTGAGGTGTACTGCAAACCCACCCACACAGACCAGTATTTGCAGTTTGACTCCCATCACCCTTTGGAGCACAAGTTAGGAGTCATCAGGACTCTGTATCACAGAGCAGACAGCGTCCCCACTAACTCAGGAGCCAGGCAGAAGGAGAAATCCCACACAAGACAGGCTCTAGAGCAATGTGGATATCCTAACTGGGCCTTCCTGAAAGCAGAGAAGAAACCCAAACAGGACTCCAGTCAGCCAACAGGTGAAAAGGAGGAACCCAGACCCAGACCAGTGGTCATTCCATATGTTGAGGGAGTATCAGAGAAACGGAGATGTTTATTTTCTAAACACAATGTCCCAGTGGCTTTTAAACCCCAAAATACATTACGGCAAAGACTGGTTCATCCCAAAGATCCAGTCCCCTGGCACAAGCAGAGCAATGTTGTGTATACTGTTCAGTTTCAGGAGGGTGATCAGTCTTACATCGGAGAAACTAAACAGCCACTGGCCAAAAGGATGGCCCAGCACAGAAGAGCAACACCATCAGGCCAGGACTCTGCGGTCTACACTCATCTCCAGGCCAGCGGTCACTCTTTCAGAGATGAAGATGTTCACATCCTGGACAGAGAGGAACGATGGTTTGAGAGAGGAGTAAAGGAGGCCATCTTTGTGAAAAGAAATTGTCCATCATTAAACAGGGGTGGAGGCCTCCGTGTTCAACTGTCCCCCTCTTACAATGCTGTGATTGTTAGGCTGATGGTCCTTCTTGATCATGTGATCAGCTGGTTTTGGTTGTCAGCAGCAAAACTGGTTGATCCACTACGAGAAAGTGCTATTTATAAGACTGAGCTGAATACAGCACCTCAGACTGAGGAAGTCTCTCGGATGAAAGACGAAACCTTTCTACTTTTTGTTGTTGTTGTTGTTTTGCTTTGTTTTGTTTTTTGAATGTCCAGAGGACCAGACTTAACTTTTTTAGAATTAATCATCATGTACAACAATCAAAGCTTACAACCCTTTTCCGAACCACTTTGACCTTGGTGTCCTCAGGCTGTTTCTGTGAGTAGCAAGTTGGCCATCTGGCCTAAAACATTTGACTGTTGTACATGATGATTAATTGTTTTGGATGGAACTGTTTTGCACATGTTAAAAGCCTGTTTCTGAGATTGCAACAGGAGTTTGGCTTGAAACACAGCAGTGAAGGCTACTTATGGGACATATCTGCTTGACAGGTCACAGACCGAGGCAGTCCGCTGGATGGGGGACGAAACGTTTCTCACTTAAAGAAAATGGTCCAGATGACATGATTTAAACTTTTTTGTCAGTATTTAAAGTGTTTTGAACTGTTTTAAAAGGAACTGTTGATGATTCATAGACACAGGACTTCATTTGTCGTTAGATCAGTCCCTTTCTTTTTATATGGTAGGAGTGGATACTTAAAAATAGCTTAAATTATCAGTACAGGTTTTCAAACATGTTGGTATTTTTAGGAACAAGAAAGAACAAAAACAACAACAACAAAAATAGCAGTACACACCTTAGAGTATCCTTCAGTGATATTACAGATAACATATTTAAAGACTGAGGTGAACCACTGCTCAGACCACTGACTGAAATAAATCAGAAGAAACAGGAAGCAACATATTTATGACAAAGATATCTGGGCACAAAGAGTTTGGCCTCAAGGCTGACATGGAGAAGGAGATCACAGATAAATTATGTTTTTTGCAAAAGCAGAAAAGGTAAACCATTTTATCAATTTGTGGAATGGCTTCAAAACTGAGAAATTCCTCTGCTCCACGGTGACAAAGGATGTAATTCAAAGCACATTTTTTATAGACGTAATAAATACTCATTTCTTGAGTGCACATCCATCCCCAAGGTGCAGCTGGTGCAAGCGCAAGCAATTTTATTGGCAATGATCTCAACACAAGTGGCTTGACGTCCAATAACCACATTATAAATTAACCACAGGGATTAAATAAAGTCAAACTGTTATTTATATGACATTGCCTATCGGTTTGCCTTTGAAAACAAATGCATGGCAGAGCGGGTCTTTAAGATAATAGATACTGTACGATGGGTATGGGTGCAGTAAAGCTCAAAGAGAAGATGAAGCAAAGAACACTTTAAAGTTGCTAAATGTGTCGGATTATCCACGTTTTAAGAAGAAACGCTCTAAAACCTCACCGAGCTGTCAAACGGTGCCTGCAGGTGGTGAGGTGTGCTATTTATATCCATGAAACTGAGCGAAGCAGTCCGACATTTGTTTTATGTAAACACGCATAACAGATTCAGTATGAGTTTATTTTTACAACAGCAAACTATTCTGAGGAAAAATCCTGGAAATGTTAGAGCAACTATAGATGAAGAAATTCATGGATGAAGACGAGGCCCAAGCCTCTACTGTGTCTTAAACTACAGTCTGAAATAGAAAAAATCTTCTTCTTTCGGCTGCTCCCTCCTTCAGGGGTTGCCACAGCAAGCGAACTCACACGAGGATTTGGCAATTGCTTTTTGCCGGATGTCCTTCCTGACACAACTACAAACCACCGAGCTACCACAGCCCTCTGTGTGACTCGACATAGGTTCATGGATCATGATAGGAAGGTTAAAGGCCTTGCTCAAAATGAGGGTGGAGGCGGATGGGGGCGCTTCACCCACATTTTGACGTTACGGTTAGCAGGGAGGTTCCAACCGGTGACCTTCTTTTAAAAAAAGAAAACAAACAAACAAAAAAAATGTGACCTTCTGATCACAGGTTTGCATCTCAAACCTCTGCGCCACCACTCCCCCACAAAAGTTAACTGAAGGATAGCGGTGCTTAACTCACCTGCAGTTCAGCAACACAAAGGTAGAAATTCAAGCTGTGCCCAGATCCTGAATTTAGACTAAAAATAAATAATAATATTAAAAAAATATGTAAGTTAATCTGTACAGAATTAAAGCCACTATTTATTTTTTACATAATATTCTGGTTAATATGATTTTTCCTCTTTATGATCTTACTTGTGTGATTTTATATAAAGATGTGTGCATTTTTTTTTAAATAATTTCATTGTTTGTTAGTTAGAATTCTCCCTGAAGTTTTGGGTGATATTAGAAGTTTGACCTTTCTCTAAAAAGCTTAACCTGGAAGAAAAAAAAACTACAAATTGGGCATTATATCAAAACTCTGATATGTGCCAGTGTTTTGTCCTTGATTACATTAAATCTTTTTGTCAAAGTTTAGGAAAAAAAACAAAAAACTTTTGTGAGCTGATGATTAATTTGATAAATAAATAAATAATACGATAGTTTGTTTTGACCATCATAGGTGGTTTCAGGTATTTAGAGTCAGCCGATTGACAGTCTTCTGTTGCCTTGACTGATAGCAAAGAAAAGCTTATGTTATGTTATAGTGTTTATTTGTCATATGCAGGTTAACACAGTGTCAACAATGCAATGCTCATGATGAGAATAACTGATTTGATAAAAAAAATAAAATAAAAAATAAAAACTGACTTAGAGGCCAATAACTTAAACATCTGAACAGGAATTGTATAGGAACCGCATAACTGGATTTGTCATGGTAGCATTTCATCAGTGAGTTCAGTCGGTAAATAAAACAACAAAAAAAGAGTTCTTACTGGAGACTGACCTGCACAACTAAACATCACGACTCATTGAATAGAAAAGTCAAACTGTAATGTCAGTGGCCTTATGGAAGTTGAACTATAAACTAAGAATTTATCAACAACGAACGAAGAAAATGACGATAGACACTGTAGAGTCATAGACACTATAGTTGCTCTAACATTCTGTTTTAATTCTGAAGGACAAGCAGCATAAATGTAAGAGAATTTCTTACGTAACGTAAAGTTAAAGATTCTACTTTAGTCAGACTCAGAGTCAGAGAGGTTTAATTGTCATTTCATCTACGTACAAGTACATAATGAAACGAAACAGCATTCCTCCAGGATCATGGTGCAACACAGAACATAACGTGCAAAAAAATACAACACGCAGTGTAGATACACAACAGAACAATAAATGCAAACAGACCAATAATAAATGCAAAAATACATCTAAAATAATCAGAATATTCTAATCTAGATAAATAATTAGGAGACAAGACTAGAGACACTTGTTATTAGTACCGTACTTTTTGCTGTATAAGTCACACCTTTTTGCATAAATTAGCATGCCCTGTGACTTATACAGCAAAGCGATGTATTTATGTTATTCATTTTTTTCCATATTTATAACCCAATTTTTGGCTGAGATCTGACAATTTCATTCATTCTGACATGGAAAATATTGAACACTACCATTTTCAGCCACTAGAGAGTGCTCGAGTAACATAGCAAGCCAAGTGTCTCATTAATAGGTAAAAGTGGATATTAATGACACACTTGGCTTGCCATACAGCCACTTTCGTCTTGCTCCAGAACTCCTGGAGCAAATGTAAAACCAGCATTTCACCACGCTGCCCAGGCAAAATGCAGCTGGTTTGACCATTAATGTGCTTTTATTAAGGAAAAGTTAAACTGAAACACACCTTTACTATAATGTCGGGCAAACAAATAATTGTTTTTAGGTGGTTAGTTTGGTAAATTTTGAAGAAATGCACAGTGAGTCCTCACTCTGCGCGCTCCCGCTTCTGCAAATCGAATTTTGAAATGAAGCTGATTTGACTGTGAAAGTGCATTACATGTTCCTGTTTTTAGTTTTCTACATTCACCTTAGAATCTACCTGTTTTTTGTTACTTTTCTTTTTTTAGCCATCCTATTTGTTAAAAAAAATAATAATAACAATTTGTATGACTTTTTATAACTGTTTATTGTTGTCACTGTTGTCCATTGTTGTCATCATTCTTTGTTGAAATCAGGTCTCTCTTGTAAATGAGTCCTCGAGGCTCAATGGGATTTACCTGTCTAAATAAAGGTTGAATGAAAATTAAGGAAAAGTTAAAATGAGACACACCTTTGGTATAATTTCGAGCAAACAAATAATTGTTTTTAAGTGTTAATTTTGTTAAATTCTTGTTAAAGTCCTCCCGTGTATGCTCCCGCGGCCGCCATATGGCAGCCAATCAATTTTTGGCACAACACCAGCCCACATTTCTGGGTGGTCAGCGGTGACGCATAATAGATGCGACTCTTATGGCGAAGCAATGTGTATGGCGGCGAGTACGGTACATGTGTAGGTGGTACATGAAGTAGAAACGATCTGATATGTGGTTAGCAGCGTAAAGTTATTCTATTTTTATATTTTCTATTTTTACAAAATAAACAAAGAACTTTAGTAGAAAACACGTATCAGACATTGTTCTTACAAGCAATTTGGCTTTTAGCCCATGAATCATTTCAAAATTAAAATTGTCAAGGTGTGCTAGATCTGGCGCTCTGGCTCTTTGTACACAAAATAATAAAAAAAAAAAAAAAAGATTTTGTTTTTAAAAAAATCTTTGCAAAGTTGAAACATGGCCCAAAATGTCCAGGACTAGCATTATGTGTCAATATAGAATTTCAATTTTATGTTATTTGTTTTATGGATAACATAAATTCAAGGCCAAAATATGTTTTATAGCTGTCAAACCTATCAAAATGAACATTAAAATATATTTTTTTGTCCACTAAACTCTTTAAACACATTATGTGATAGTAACTGTGATGTTGCAGCACTGTCTAACAACAGAATATGAGTTCAGGGACACTTCTAAAAAACATGTTTTGTGAACAAGTGCATTTTAGGCATTTTTAGATGGATCCCCTGCCAAAGTGTTGTCATGTTTTTAAATTCAGTGTTTTTCATTTTTAAATCCAAGTGGTATAAAAATTAGGGAATGTCTTGAAATAGACATATTTACAATCATTCCATCATTATATCTGCAAATATTTACTAAAAATGACTCATGATGGTTAGGCCTCCTCTACAGTGAACCACGTTTTGTTTGTACTTTGTTTTTTTCTGGCACAAAGTCAAAAGAATATTGTAAACAATAATTTATGTTATATCTTTACATTATACTTTAAAGAGGATTGGCTATGCTTGTAAAAGTTGAAATAAAGCATAAAGATTGTATTTAAAGACATTAGCCACCTTGAGGCCGAATTAAAACTTTTCTTGTGTCTTGATCACTGCAAAGATTTCATTTCAATGAATATGCGGATAATGAAAATACACTAAATTCAGATGTCTTTTCTTTGTCCGCACCGAACAAACACGTCTTTCAAACCCGTGGATCTAAATGATGCTTCAGAGACTGAGTTGGCAGATTCAGGTTGTGCCTCGTCACAGATTGTAAAGCTCTGGAGCGGCACTCACCTGTAGTGACAATAAGTCGGCCTTCATCACTGATGTCCTTTCTAGCAGAATTGGATGCAAGGCAGCGGTAGACACCCTCATCTTCTTTAGTCACCTCCAGAATCTGAAGAACCCCGTTGGGAAGGGAAATGAACCTGTCACACAGAGGAGAGTAAAACAGAGAGAAACAACAAAATAAATGACTCTATGCCCTGAAGCATGAAGCATCCAACATATCCGCTCTACTTGGATCCTGCTAGGTTTACCTTCACTTCACAAGGCTCGACTTGCTTTTCCAGTAATAAAATATTTTAACCACTACAAACAAATAAATCCAATGACTATATCATGCACTTAAAGATAGCATTTCACTCCTTTTTGGTTTATTTTAGAATTGAAGAATTTCAAAAATCATCAGATTAGATAATTTTTCCAATGCTTTATTCATATTAGTAATATGCACTTTGTCAGTTTTATTTTAGATAATTTTAGGTTAAACATTTATGACTCATTAAAACAAGATAATGAGGACCCTGTAGAAATAAAATGTAATTCTGTTTCTTTACTTTTACCACAAATGACTAACAACCAAAATATGACCCATCGATAGTTTCTATTCAGTTACAGTTTACAAAGTTTGTTTTCTCAGTCATCCAGGTATATAACAACAAAAAAGGTTGAATCATGTCATTTGTCATCAACAAAAAAAACGAAGTCCAGATGACATGATTCAACCTTTTTTGCAGTTACAATTTAGTTTCTGTACATAGCACCAATGGACTACATACGCCATCTCAGGGCACCATACAAAAGCATTCACATGAATTATAAGATTTCACTTAGCCAAAAAAAATAAAAAGCTCTGTCATAGCAAGCAGATTGTGTAAATCTTGACTTCATCAGAATCTCTCATCCTGAGCAGCACAGTGGCGACAGTGGAAAGAAACAACTCCCTTTTAACAGGAAGGTCTCTCTGGCAGAACCAGGCTCAGGATGGGAAGTTATATGCCTCGACTGGCTAGGGTTAGTGAGAATGGGAAAGAGACAAACATTGAATGACTGGTCCAAGTGTAGTTTCTTTGGGAAGACAAGAAAAACAAGAAAACAATAGAAATAATAAAAAATACAGACGTGAAGATTAGAGCAAGTAAAGACAGCACCAGAGTGGTCAGTTTGTTGCCCAGCAGTCTAAGTCAAGTCAACTTTATTTATAGAGCACATTTAAAACAGAACCTGTTATCAAAGTGCTTAGCAAAGTCTAAGCCTATAGCAGCATAACTAATAACTCCAAAAACCCAAGCCAACCTTAATTTCTATCAGGTCTCTCTTGTAAATGAGTCCTCGAGGCTCAATGGGATTCACCTGTCTAAATAAAGGTTGAATGAATGAAAAACTATAGGATTTATCCAAAAGGAAAGTGTTAAGCCTTAAAAGTCGAGAGAGTGTCAGCTTCATGGACAGACACTGTAGGTGGGTTCCACAAGAGAGGAGACTGAAAACAGCTCTGCCTCCCATTCTACTTTTAGAAACCACAAGGAAATCTCTCCACAACCTCTGGTAAGATTGGGGAGGGGACCAAAAGAAACTTGGGAGTCTGGCAGTGTTTTGGCCAAGTTCATTTGAAAGGAATGTAAGGCAAAAGGAAGTGGAATGGTAATGGGAAAAAAAAAAGAAAGTGAGTTTATCAGGATGACTGCAGAAAAAACATTAATAAAGCAAATACATTTGCAAAGAGATAGCAGGAAGATACTGTATGCATGAGGAGAAAATGTAGGTTGAGAGTTAAAAGGAAAAGAGAAAGACATGAAATAATATCAATGAGAATGAAAAAAAGAAACATTGAAGCAGGAGAGAACAAAGGAAGAGAAGAGCCACTGATGCATCAACCATCCTTTGGCTGATGTTACCGAGAGGCCATTAATACCGCCTGGGGCAGCAGAACAGCACCCCACCAATCAGACCTTCTAAAGCAGTGAGCTGTTTGCAGGTCATGCAGGGCTACAGCAGTCATTAACAGTTCACACTGAATAATGAGGCTGGAAATAAATTCAAGGGCTTCAGGGGCATAGCACAATGTCCATATTGTTAGTAGCAAATTCGTTTATTTGTGAGAAAGAACTGAGAAAACAAACTCTTCAAGATGCAACCACAGGCTTATATATATTTGTATTTTTTTAATCCGTGACTTAACAGAACGATTACACAAGGGGCTTTTTTTGTTGTTTTTAAGAGTTGTGTTTATTCTTCAAAGTCCTTCTGAGATCTTGATATGTCATTTTAAGTACAGCTCTATTCTTAGACTTCTCACTGGAAATTGACACTTTAAAAGAAAATCCATAAAGCTAATTCACTCGAACTGACAGATCAGTGTGTATTGTATAAAATACCTGGTTGTTAGACATGTAAACTATGGTAAATGGACTGCACTTATCTAGCACCTTTCCATATTATCAAGATACTCAAAGCACTTTACAGTACAATCTGTGTCCTCATTTACCCATTCATACAGCACTCTACTAGATCTCTACAAAGAGTAGTCAGTGCTTTATCGCATTCATACATTGATGGGACACACATCGGAAGAAATGAGGGGCTCAGTGTCTTGCCCAGGGACACTTAGGCATGTGACTGCTGGTGGATTCGAACCCCCAACTCTTGCATTGGAGGACAACTGCACTTACCACAGCCACAACCGTCCTAAACTACAAAAAGCAACAAAAAATTTTCCGATTCCTTATGATTTACATGTACATGTAAAATATACTGTATACAGTATAACAACAAAGAAGCCTTTCAAATATTACTTTTTATAAACATTTTCAAGTTCACTATCTGGATTACACATAGGTTTCACAGTAAGGTAAAGATGGCACAGAAACATGTGAATTCATTTTTATTATTCTTAATCCTATTCATTAAAAAAAAAAAAAAAAAATTCTCATAGCTTTAGATCCGAAGCAAGTCAATAACTTTAAATTTAACTTCTCACTGAAATGCTTGTTGTCTATTGTTTGGTCTTGCTAACTTGAGTATTAAAAAAGTATTGTTATTGTATTATGATGGCTGGTAGTTTGCAAATTACATCACTCCAAAATGAGGGGTTTAACACCAACAAGAGGTAAGTAGCACAACGATCTTTGAGTAAATCTGAACACACAACACAAATCAAAGTACAAAATAAAAAGAGTAATTTCTTAAACTTGGAGTGATCAGTCAAAATTAGCATGTACGTAAAAAAAAAGAAAAAAAGAACACAGTGTGGTCATTTCATAAAACCAGAATAATTTCCACAACCATGTCTTATAGATGAAGAATGCCACAGTTATACAGCACAGCTTAAACACTCTGTGGACAAAATAAAGAAATCGCCTCAAAAAGATCCGCCACTTTGTAGGTTTGTATCAACATTCAAAATCTGCTGAGTCAGTTTAGCCCACTGACATCATTTATGTGTGTAGGGATTCAAAGGACCCTTAATGAATTTTGACCCAGATCTTAAAGCCCAATGAGCACCATGTGAGTGACAGTTAAACATATTGTATTCATTAGTTGCACTTGCAGGAGACTCAAATGATATTAACTGCAATAAAATCATATGTTGTCACTTTGCTAATTCATCTGAATAGAGAAAGAACATACCAAATATACATACATATTTTAATAAAAAATATAATACCACAACAAAATACAAAGTGAGTTTACCTTGTTTCATCAGGGATGGCCACTCTGTCTTTTTCCCAGGTTATAACAGGAGTGGGCACTCCTTCAATTCGGCACTCAAAGCGAGCAGATTCTCCAAAGGGCACTGTTTGTGATGATGGCTCCTGATAAAACTGAGACAGACCTAAAGGGTCCAGAAGTAAGATTACTGGGTTATACATAGAAACAGAATTGTCCTTGAGGAGACATGTAGAAAAAAAAACAACCTAATCAAATTTATAGATGTGTATCTCAACCTTTATTGTTGGCCTTTTTCACAAAACAGATCTGTGACATGAACTCAAAGATAAGTCATCTTTTGGCATCCTCAAACATTATTAATCGAACCAGCCATGCCCTGATGATGTGAGCTTAAAAAAATGAAGATGGAGTTGTAGAACCATAGGAGGTGTGGTACTATTTGCATATAATATTTAATAACTCCCAATATAACTTTTGTAACTGGCTGATAAACTGTCATCACTACTCTCAAGGCACAATGGCAGCTTTTCCTTTGATGCGTTGGATGTTTTGGCTCTGGATTTCCCCTGTGGGTATTGCAAAGCAGCAGAGGGCAGCAGGGAGTATGGTCTATGGGCTTCTAACCTCTTACCCCCACATGCTGTTGGAAGAAAGAACAAAACAGGCAAACTGTCCCAACCACTTTGCCTGCAGCCCTGACTAAGAAGAGTAGAGTGGGGGGAGGATGAATAAAAAGAGCACAAAAAGAAGACAGAGTAGGCACCATACCACTGAAAATAAAAAGAGAAATTCAGGAAAATGCTAATCCTAAATTATATAAACTAGGCAAAACAGCTTAGAGTTACATTCACCAAAAAAAAAATAAAAAAATATATATATATACAAAATACTAATATTACATAAAATTGTGTTCAAGGACAACACAATGAAGCCTCTAAACATACTAGTTGTTTAGCAGGAATTCTAATTTCCATAACACAGTTTTTCCATTTGAACATAACTGCAAAACTAATTCAAGCCAGGGCTGCATTTTAGTACACTTTATCATTGATGTTGCCTTGCAGCAAGAAAGTCCTGGGGTTGACTCCTAGCAGGGACTTTCCTGCACTACATTTTTTCCAATACATTGTACATGAATGGGTTGTCTCAGTGCATTTTGAGTGAAAGTATAGTATTTCTGCTTCATTTTGTCCTTTTGTGTACACAATTACAATTTGGAGAGTGGTGGCGCAGAGGTTAGAGAAGGTGGGCCTGTGATCAGAAGATTGCTGGTTCAAGCCCCGGTACCGACAACATCAAAAATGTGGGTGGGGTAGGTGAAGCATCCACACCTGCCCCCACCCTCATTCGCCCGTCGTAAACATGACTTTTACACAATAAATTGAAAAAAAAACAAAAAAAAAACACTAAACTTTCCAGTAATGGTTCACATGCTAACAGTGCCTGATTTATCTTCCCACAGTGCAAAAAGATGCATGTTTGGTGAGATGGCAACACTAAATTGACCCTAGATGTGAGTGTGAGCATGAAGTAGTTAGTTTGTTACTAAGTGGACTTGTGATGGACTGGCATCCTGTCCAGAGTGTATCCCATCCTTTGTCCAACGACTGTCAGAGAAATAGTCACCATCTCACCGTGACCCTGCAGAAGGACAAGCAGGTACGGTTAGGCCTATCACAATAACACATTTCCCTGGGTGATTAATTGTCTCAGAAATTATTGTGATAAACGATAATATTGTTTGAGAAGAAACGTTGGTTAATTTTGGTGTGCAGTACCTTTTTTGACCACTGAATGGCAGTATAAGACTGTTTGAACCAAAGGATGGATAGTGAGGGAGCGAGCAGCGTGTCTCTTTAAGAAAAATGGGAGGCCCTTTGACATGACATGGGCTGTCTCTCGTTCCTGTTTTTCAGTTCTCAAAATGGTGGATACTCAGTGTTGTTTGAGCTCATTAGCATAACGTTTGTCACACAAAGCTTTTAATAAAAAATCTGTAAATAAGTTCTCTGTTTATTTTTGCAGAGAAAAACAACTTTTTGAATGAAGGCGTGGGTTTCAACTGTGAATTTTGGAACTTTGACAAGACAGAGGTTTTTCCCCCCGAGGTTGGCCTGTTAGCTTAGCTCGTAGCTTAGCTGCTTTTAACGATCCAAAAACACGATTTTGGACGGTTCAAACTGATTTTAAAGAGAAAAGAGAAAGGGAGGGGTCAGTGAAGAGCACTGGAGTTGAGCCTTTTGTCATCCAGTATCCAATAGAACGAGAGAGTCACGAAGAAATGATAAAGCCGATGAACGAAAATGAAGTCGATAATTTTCATTTATCATGCGATTAATTGATTTTGTGTTTTTCACGACAGGCCTAGTTACGGTAAAAGAAAAATGGTTAAATGGATAGATTTTTTAGAGCAAATTTATACGAACTGCAAACATAATAATTATACAGTGAAGCTACATTTATAAGTTGTTGTCGAACAAGCAAGCATGGACATTTTTTTTTCTTTTACTACCTAACAATTTTTTTTTTACAAATTCACATTTTTTTTGTAAGGAGATGGGGACCAAAATGGTTTTACCTCCGTTTACTCCGTTAGACTGGTTCAAATCATATCTCTCTGACCGCACTCAATTCATTCAGCTCAAATCCCTTCGTTCCCAGTCTCCCCTCGTCTCCACGGGTGTCCCCCAAGGCTCTGTCCTCGGACCCCTCCTCTTCATCATTTACCTCCTTCCTCTAGGTCACATCTTACGTAAATTTAGTGTCCATTTTCACTGTTATGCTGATGACACACAGCTCTACCTGTCAACAAAACCAAACTCCACCCACCCACCCTCCATCCTCACCGACTGTCACAATGAGCTAAATCACTGGTTTTCTAACAACTTCCTACAACTAAACAGTAACAAAACAGAAATCATTCTTGTCGGTACCAAAAACTCTCTTTCAAAATCAGAAAATCTTCTCATCCCCTTTATCAACTCCTTGCTATCCCCCTCGCCTCAGGTCAAGAGTCTTGGTGTCATCCTCGACACCACTCTCTCCTTCACTTCACACATCAACAACGTCACTCGGTCTGCCTATTTCCATCTCAGAAATATTGACCGTCTCCACCCTTCTCACACACCCCGCTCCACAGCTATCCTTGTGCACAGTCTTGTGACTTCTCGGATTGACTACTGCAACTCCCTTCTTTATGGCCTCCCCAACAAATCTCTCCAGAAGCTACAATTGGTACAGAACTCAGCTGCCCGTGTCATCACTCAAACCTCCTCCTATAACCACATCACTCCAGTCCTGCAGCAGCTCCACTGGCTCTCGGTTAAATCATGCATAGTCTTCAAAATTCTTCTTCTCACTTTCAAAGCTATCCACAACCTTTCCCCTCCGTACTTATCTGACCTCCTACACATCTCCATCCCCTCTCGCTCTCTCAGATCCTCCTCTTCACTACACCTCCATGTACCCTCTGCCCGCCTCTCCACCATGGGGGGCAGGGCCTTCACCTGCTCTGCTCCTCATCTCTGGAACTCTCTACCCCCTGACTTAAGAAACACCACCTCTCTTTCTATATTCAAGACTGCTCTGAAAACACATCTCTTTAGACTCGCTTATCCTTAACTTTGCTGTATGTATTTTATATTCTTTACGCATTTTATATTCTGTATGTATTTTATATTCTTTATGTAATTTATTCCTGTTGATCTGTGTTCTTACTGTAAAGTGTCCTTGGGTGTCATGAAAGGCGCTTTTTAAATAAAATTATTATTATTATTATTATTACCTTCTTGCTTAACTTCATATTTAAAACTAACAACTATTTTGACTTTTTGTTGTTGTTGTTTTTTATGAACTACCAAATTAACATTAATTGGAAAGAACACAAGGGTTGCTTCTTATCCTTGGACCACATTTTGTCCACACGCCTTGAAGATGATAATGATGTACAGATGATGGTTAGATAGTTGTACAAAAATTGGCACCCATTTTTAAACGACAAGCATACAGTGGAATTAAATTATTACCTGCGAGAATAAATGAAAACATGAAGGTATTTTTATTTTCTTAGTGAGTAAGCTTAAGCACATAAGAACCATATGACTAGATGTCAGCAGCATTTTAGTAAGAATAAAAGTGGAAAACTAGCTAACTAGTTCTAGCAGTGGTGCGCGCAGTTTAGCTGTTGTTTAACAGCAAATAATGGAATATTTTTTTTGTTTAGTGATTTAGCGTTTGGCAGCATGGTGGCTCAGCTGGTAAAGTTGTTGCCTCTCAGCGAGAAGGTTTCAGGCTCAAATCCCAGCCCTGGACCTTTCTGACTTTCTGGGTGGAGTCTGCATGTTCTCTCTGTGCATGCGTGGGTTTTCTCCAGGTACTCTGGTTTCTTCCCACAGACCAAAAGCATGCATGTTAGACTGATTGGTAACTCTAAATTGTCCCTAGGTGTGAGTGAGAGTGAATGGTTGTTTGTCTTGTTTGTCTCTATGTGTCCCTGTGATGGACTGGAGACTGGTCCAGGTTGTACCCCATCCCTTGCACAGTGATAGCTGGACATGGGCACCAGTGACCCCCTTGACCCAAAAAAAGGGAAGAAGTGGGTAAAGAGGATGGATGGATGGATTAGCATTTTTGTTAACTTTGGAAATTGTTAGCAGAATTAACTTCCCCTAAATTTTGTTTCAACAACTTTAGATTCGCTAACAATATTTACAAGCTTGTTCCTGTTTGTTTTGGGTGTGTCTCGATGAGTCTAGACATGCTATTGGCTTACTACGTGTACATGTGACAAGACAAGACTGGTCAACGCACCTTTAACTGGAAAGAGATTAAGACATGTGACGCAGAATGAATTAGTCATTTAAGCGGTTAACGATTTAGCATTAGCTTCCATTAGTTTTTTTACTTGTTCAGTGGTTTAGCGTTAGCAAAGCTAATTTTTTTGTTAGCAGAATATGGGGTAGCTGTGCCCACCACTGCTAACTGGTTTGCACAGACAAAGATTGCATCCAGTTTAAAAAAAAGTGATGGCACCTTGGGTTAGACTTTGAGCAATACTGGAGCACAATTTTTGTTTTGGGACAAAAAATATATTTTTTCCAACCTATATCACAGTAACTGTTTGTAACAGATACTGTAAACCTGGTGATTGATGTTTTTCTGTCACACCGATGGAGGAAAGTTTCTCCATGAGTATGGTGGCCATAGTAGCAGAAAAGATCTGAGTCAATCAGGAAAAAAGCAGGCTTAGTAGGCTTCACAGGAGGCCTTGGTGATTAACCCTCACTACTTCCACACCTTACACAGTGTGATAACCAAAGTCCCAGAGCTACACATGATGTGTGCCAGCACCTGACAGGATGCCAAGCTCTCTGAGTGTGGGGGAGTGTGTGCACGTGTGAATTGTAGTGTGTTTCTAAAGAGCTACTGTACTTTTAACCTCAGTGATTATTCGAGTGCCTCCCTTGATACTTATAAACTCATGGACTCATTGTGTTTACATTACAGGATCACCATGTGCATCTTATCTGTGGAAATGTGCACGTGGGGGTGAATGACAGCTGAAAAGCAAGAGTGCACAGTTGCAAATGTGAATGAAAGAAGGGAGAGGGGTGAAGAGCTTTAAACAAGGCACTTTGCCCATACTGCGATGGGACAATGCTGACCGGCTAAACCCCCACCTCTGCTCTTTCAAAGCATAATTATATTAGTTTTTTCCCAGGGCTCATGATGAGATTCCATGGCAGGTCACACCAGAAACATGAAGATCACCCTGTCAGACATTGACAAGCTGACAGTTCTGAGGTTGTGATGACACAGGCTAGTTTTTTTCTTGAAGCAGACCCAGCTAAAGGTCACATTCCAAGACAGAGGTGTCAAAAAAATTATGTCCAGTTGTTTCCTAGCAACAAGGTATTTCTGTGTTAAGGAAGGTTTTTTTAGGCATCTGTTTAAACATTTAATTAAATAAAGATTAGGTCCCCAATGAAATATTTTTAACTGTTCTTTCACTCCTTCTTTTTAAACTATTTTTATTTTCTTTCTTTCCCCCGTTTCTGGCCTGTTTTGACTTTACCCCGACTCTCCCTCCCTGCCTTTGTCTGTCCTTCTTTATGTGCCCCACTCTTTGGCCCCACAGCTATCAGATTGCAGCATTTTTCCCCTCCCCTTGTGCAAGCAGATAATTCCACCCGTGACCTCTTTGCTGCCCAGCTTTAAGGCAGAGATTGTGAAAGCTCATCAAGCAAACCTCCAGCCTCAACAGATACTGGAAACACACACAGCCCAATCAGTTTTGGCACAAATGTAGAAATGCCCTTTAACTACAAAAAATAGAAGCCTTCTATTATGTCCAATAAAAAGTTTAAATATATAGTTTTTTTTTAATCTTTGAAACATTTGAACAGGTGCATCTGACCTAAAATTTACAAGTTGTTTGTAAAAGCTCAAGAATTGGGAAATTTTGATAATAATCTAAGCTGTAATGTGATATAAAACACAACTTTTTCAACATTACCAAACATCTATATTTATATTTTGGAAAGACAATCTTAAAATTATTGTTTTTAAAGAGTAGACCAGTTTCCTCAGATGTCTCCTTACCTCTAAAGTGCATGCTTCTTACATAGACTGTGATAGAGAAAGAGGAGAAGATGGCTTTTTAAAAGCGTTTCCACTGATGTGTTTTCTGCTACTTTCTTTTTTCAGTCTCATTTCTTCTTGTGAAGACACAATTTATTTTCACAAACAGATTTGCCTCAAAGCTGCAAAGGCAAGCCCCTCTTTAAGTTGCCTCTGATCAGTCATAAATCACCAATGGAGCCGCCCACATCCCACAAAGATGTGCTCATTCAATCATGAAACCAGAAGAGGCATGGAGAATAACCGTAGCGGTGATAAGGAATGCTAAACATATAATGCATGTGTAGCTCATCATTATATGTACACCAGGAAGCCATAAACTTGACTTCCTCTTTCTGGATCTTTGACAAAACACTTCAAGCTGGGACTGAGACACATTTTAGTCACCTCTGTGTGATTTCTGAGTGGACAGAAGTAGAAAGGGGAGGTGAAGTCAACCCACTAGTGTTGCATCTTTGAACCGGCAACTGAAACAGAGCCCACGCCTTTTCTTTTTTTTTTTTTTTTTTTTTTTGATTCTGTGAAGCTTGCTTCATTACTGAAAGCTCACATGTGGGAGGTGGCCGGCTCGATTAGTGATTTATGAATGGTCAGAGGCAGCTTAAATATAGACTGGTCTTTGCAGCCATTTCTTTGAACTGCTTTGTGAAAGTGCCTACAGTCAACCCTTGCAGTGCTGTTACTTCATTGCTTGGCAGCTTAGACGTGTGTCAGTAACCCGTGGACTTCAACCCCCTGTGCCAGTTTGATACTCCCACAAATCACACAGAGAGACAGCCAGTAGGCATCCCAGTCCTGATTTTGAGTGTTTTGTGAAAAAGGCAACAAGGTCCCTTCTGAACGTCATCTGTAAGGGGCCGTCCACACAGGGATAATGTTTATGGGTAGATTTTTTAAAATAATTTCAGCTTGCACTGAAACAGCATTTTAGGAGCCCCGAAGCTGTATTTTTCTTAAAATGTGTTTCAGCTTTGCATTTTGGTGTGGATGGCCAAAACACAAACATTTGAAAACAATGTCAGAGCTTCACCTCTAGTTTAACCTATGTCACCAGGTGCATCAGACATTAAGCAATGATAATGGTAGATAGATGTTTGTGTTTGTGCTGAATATGCTACAGTTGTTCAACTACAGCTAAACCTTTGTATGCTGTTACTTCAATAAGCAAACAAGGCTGATGAACAATTACATACACCAAATAATTGACTCACTGCAGAGGTAAACTAGTTGGTTGGGTGTGTACAGTTTGTGCTCAGCATGCAAGTTTTATGCCTCTGCTCTTGGACTTGTTTCCTGTTTTTGGACAGGGTCTAAGAAAGTTTGGTTTCAGCCATTTTCACACTGATCACATCTAACTCATAGATTCCAAAGACACACAGTATTCACAGGTTTACACACAGACAAAATGAATGTCAGTCTTATTAGTTTCCGAAGTTCTAATTTTCATCATCGCCATAAATTCACTGCAGCTTTTCCACCTTCCCACTATTCATTCAACACCCACGCTCCGTTTTTCTTTAGTGCTTTTTGTCCCTCAGACAAGAGCTGCTCATAAATAAGCATGTGGCTGCCGACAAAGGAAGGGACATCCACAGAGAATAGTTCTCATCTTACACAAAGGTAATGACTAAATAAAGACTAACACGTAGGAATGTGGGAGACAGGGGTTTCTCTGGTGAGACAAAACTTTATACGGTCCTCAGATACATCATACCTCCACCTTCTATTCCATTTGTTCAATGGGTATATTGTATAAAGTGCACACGATCCCAGGATACTTTCAAACCTTTACAGCACACTGAAGATAATTAAAGCAAGGAACTTTAGATACTGCAGAAGAAAAACACCAAAATGGGTTTTTAATGTGTTTAATTTAGATTTTTTTTTTGTTTGTTTTAATGTAGCTGTCGTACTAATCATACTTGTGTGGTCCAAAAGCTTTATAGTAACAAATCACTTTTTTGCTGCAAAGTTAAACAATTGTTTGTGGGTTAAACCTTTAAGGGTTATGATATGCTGAACTGGACTGAAGAAGGGAGTTGAGCATCTACCTGAGACACCTAGGCAAGTCAAAGTTGTGTTTGGATGTGCACAATGGGGCAGAGATGGGGAGAGGTAGGGCAGCCGACTTGGGACCCAAAAGTCCCAGGTTCAATCCCCAGCCATTCACACGTCGTGGTGTCTCTGAGCAAGACATCCAATCCCTGATTGCTCCCCAGGTGCTTACATAGCTGTCCACTGCTCCACCTGGGTGTATCCCAGGTGCAATGGGTTAAATGTAGAGAATAAATTTTGCCATTGTATGGGAACATAAAATGATGACAACGCATAGCACTTTATTAATTTTTTTTAAAGTATCATTACACATTGTACCCATCTGAATGGTTAACGTGTACAACGAGTAAAACTACAGCTGATTTTAAATGTGTACCATTTTCAACCATACAGATACACCTGCATCTCACAAAATTAGGATATCATGAAAAACTTCAAATTTTTGTCAATCATTTCAGAAAGTGAAACGCGTATATTGCATAGATTCATTACGCATAGTGTGAAATATGTCAAGCGTTTATTTCTTGAGACCCTGAATTTTGTATTTTTCATTATTTGTAAGCCAAATTCAGAAAAAATTACAAGTAACGAAAGCTTGAAATATTTCACTCAATTTGTAATTACCTGGCAAATTACTTTTTTTTTATATCCAATTTTTTTACTAAACATACAAGATTTAATACATCCTGGATGACTTATAAGCCTTCCTAGCATCATTATTTAAATGCAACATATAGAGCAGCACATACTGTATATTCTTGAGTTTAGCCTAATATTTTGTTGCCACTACTTGAAAAGAAACAAAAATTAGCCACAATCTGTTTATAGCAAATGTGCACCTACTTGCTTGCTGCACATTCACGGTTCGGCTGGTCAGTGCTCCGTGGGCACTGGTGCTCACACAGCTGTAACTACCCTCCACTCTCTGGGAAGGGTCACTGCCTGAGGAGGTGGGTAGCAGGAGGAGAGATCCGTTGGCCAAATACTGCAAATAATTGCTCTCCTCTGGTGGCAGCGACTGACCATCCTTCAGCCAGGTAATGTTGACGGGTGCGTCACTGGCCCCTAGGTTGCAGTCAAGCAAAAGGGGCAGTCCTGGCTCCAAAACTACATGGCTGGGCCCAGCGCCACAGCTCAGCTCCACTGAAACAGGCTTTTCTGTGTGAAACAAAACAAAGAAAGAAAAAGTGTTAATTGTGCTTTGTAGCAGCAACAGTCTAAAGATGAGCCAAGTTCATTTGTTGCTTCAAAATTTTACATTTTGTAGCCTCTCACTACAGAAACCTCGTTTTACTCTGTGATCACCACCACAGCTCAAGTGAGTAAATATTACACTACTTTTTTTTTTTTCTTATTAACAACCTTCTTTAATTATTTCACACATTTTGGAAATGTATCATACTGGCTACTTCTATATATATGCCTTATCAGTTGCAGCATTTGCCTTTTTCTTTTTCAAAGCTGAACTTCAGTAGCATCAATCCTGCTGGCAGCACAGATAAATTGGAGTAGAGGATCTTAAGATTTCTGGGGACAGAAGGTCCCAGTGGAGGAGGCGGGTGAGGAGGTCTATAAATGAGATAGGTGCAACTGCATGAGATAATGAATGTCTGCAATAAGCTCTGCATAACATACAATCAAACATGTCTCTTACATGGACTTATATATAGTCATGATTGACTGCTTTGCCATGTGATTAGAAATTAATACATCAATGACATTTTAAACTGTAAATGTAAATACGTTTTTTGCATTAATGCTATTATTTGACATGTGCTATACCACACAAACTTACAAACTTGGATAGCTGTCCATTTAATTGTCATCTTTAAACTATCATATATCCACTAAAATGTCAATATTCTTAACGTACTCATTAAAATGTAAACATTATCAAATGTGTGTTTTCAGAAGCCAAAGAAAAAGCACCAAGAAAAGATAAACTTGCAGTGTTAGGAGGTTATGCTTTTTCATATTTTTAGCAGTTCTGTTGTATGACTATAATATAACCATAATACATTATTCTGAAAATGATGGCTAGCTGATGCTTTTAGTGTGAAGGTTCTTCATACATTATGCATTAACAAGTGTTTGGAAAATCCAAGAGACAAAAAAAATGTTTCATTTTAAAGTGAGTAGTAAAGTGGACTTTTGCTTTTGAATCTATAGCAAAGAAAATTCCAATGAAAACATTTAAAACAACATTTAACAAACACTAAAAATATTTCAGTGGTTTTAAGTGAATTGATCTTTCTCAGGAACTTCAACAAATTAAATTACAATAATTCTCTAATGCTTTTGAATTTGTTTTCTCAGAAGTACTTGCACTGATTATCTCTAAAGGTTATTCAGAAAACATCACAGAAAAACACATATTGACAGAAAGAAAATCCCTGGAAACATTCCATTTGGAGGTTTATTGAGTTTTTTTGAGGCATTTGTTTGCCGCTGCAGTATCTCTTTTTGACACTCTCATAGCCATGACTTTACCTTGTTAGATTCAAAAAATATATTTATTTTTTGATTAAAATACCTTCACAGATAGCATGTGAGCCTTGAAGTGAGTTGCCTCTTGTTGCAGAGAAATGTTTTGTACATTTAACATTTACTTGACAGGTGGAATATGAGTGCCACAAGGCTTGAAGGAGCGTCATGTGCTTAGAAAATGTGTTTTTTCTTCATTTTGTTCAAAGAGCCAAAACAGCCTGACCTCAAATATCGACAAACCCGAGGGCTGATTTATGAACTCCACTATGAAATTCAGTGACCATTACTGCTGAATGTGTTTATAGTGACAATAAATGGTTCTGGTTGTCAGTGTCGACTTCCTTTGAAAAAAAAAAAAAAAAACTTGTTAGTAAAAAACAATACATAATAAAATTATAGTTTTAATTTAACATGGGGATGATACGAAAACTCACTTTTTTAACCTCCACGTAAAGATTTTTACTTAAATCTGAGCATCAACACATTCAAATTGTCTGATAGAAACCATAGATAAGCCAGTGATGGGAAATAATCACTAAATTGACAATTGACAAAATCCAGTCTAGTGTTTGACAGACTGTGAATATTGTACATCATTCTTATAATTAGAGATATTGTAACAAGTCTAACTAAATTTGGTGTTCAAAATCAAGGTTGCAGGAAACAAAAAGAAAAGTGCTCCAAAAGGAGAAGAATATTTTACAAGTGGAACAAAGAAACATTTATAAAAGAACAAATCATTCTGTTTTTTGGAGAAAAGAGCAGGAGGAACTACGGTAAGTTGCAACACTCTATGGACAGATGTTTCTATCAAGAAGAATCAGACAACTTGAGTGATTCAAAGTGTGCAAGATAAAAAATGTTCAAAGGGATGACCCACAACAAGGTGAACAAACATGCAATGGATTTGTGAACATTAAGATAAAAGGAAGACGGCACACGGGACTCAAAGGAATACATTAACTCAACAGCTTGTTCTCAAATTCTACAGAAACCTAATGATTACATTAATTTAAACCAAGTGGGATGAATCTGTAAACATATAGAACAGTGTGCCCAGATGATCACGATAAATTGTGATTTGTGACAAGCGCAGTAGTAATTATTATCTCACCACATTAATAAAATATCTCTGAGTTTACTAAGCTTTGTGATTATTTGATCATAATTTAGCTAATCATAGAATAGCAGTAAATTCTGTATACATGATATGTGTGGAAATAAATTTTAAAAAAGCATCTCAAGTGCATTGATGCGCTTATGAACCACGTTTTTTTTCACTCAAACTTGATTTAGTCTCATTGAGTCACGAGGACTCATTTTCCTGTTTTAGATAAAGTACTGACAACAACAAAAAACAACAACAATAAAATGCAATTAAAATTAAATTTGTGTTATAAAACAATAAAATTAAGGAGCCTTATAAAACAAGGTAAAATAATAAAAACAAGAACATATTTGCTTTGGTGATTTTTCTATTGACCTTATTAAATGTTTAAAATCCCTTAAAGAAAAAGTGGACAACTTCAGATCTTGTTGCAAGGTGTTCCAGGTTACAGGAGCAAAGTAAGAAAAGGCCTTTTTCCCGAGTTCAGTCTGCACTGAGGGGACACTGCAGGTAATGAAGGCCCAAGAGTGCATGCAGTAACTGCACTGACGGCGTGATACAGGTATATGAAGGCAGCAGACCACATCCCCCCCCCCCCCACACACACACACACACATTACAAATGCTTCTGATGCCAATGGCCACCATGTTGTTCAAGCCAAGAGCCATTGTCAGCACTGGGAGCTAAGCGCCTTTAAAAGTGCATATTCTTGAATCGCCCCTGATTTAAGGTTATGATTACATGATTTTAATAATAGTCATGATCTAAAGTGGGCCAGTCTGAGGCATGAAACTCCAGGCCTTGTTAGTTAATGAGTCCCACTCCAGCCCTGGGAACACCATGTGTGGATAAGATAGGAGGAAGAACTGCTGGTATCAACTTTCTGTTTGAAAACAACATCCTATTGGTTTTATCAGCATTTAGCACCAGTTTGAGATGTTACAAGTATGACTGAATGATGTCACATGCAGACTGTAGAAGATGGAAAACCTTGGCAATGGTGTTAGCTCAACAATAAACAACTGTATGCCAGCATATGTAAAGAGGCGTCAGGAATGTTTGACCTACATTACCTATATAAATTGTAAAGAAAGTGGGTCCTAAAACTGAGCCTTGTGGCACACCATTATTAACAGTTAAATAACTAGAAGAGGTACCATTGTGTTGAGCACATTGCCTTCAACTTGATATATAATTAGAAAACCGTCAGATAATGTGATCTGAGAAACCAATATCTGAGGGCTTATGGCATAAGATGTCATGGTCCACAGTGTCAAAAGCTTTGGATAGGTCTAGATAAAGTGCGGCAGAGTAATCCTTAGCATCCAGTGCTGCGGCAATTATATATATATCACTCGAAGCCTTCAGCGAAGCAGTCATTGTGCTTTATTGTTTCCTAAAGTCAGATTGGTGGGAAGATAAAATGTTAAAATAATCCAAATACTTCTTGTCTTGAGTATTTACCAGTTTTTTTAAAAACCTTAGTTAAAATACAGAGTTTGGAAATTGGTCCAAAATGAAATGAAAAATGAAAAATGAAAAATGAAAAAAAAAAAAAAGGTCGATAATTGTTCAGTATAGTTAGTGGGGTCTCCTTCCCTCAATAATGGTAGAACAAAAGCTGTTTTCCAAGCATTTGGAAAACAGCTTGTTTGTGCTTGTTTTTTTTTTGTTATAATGTGTTGCTGAATAAATCTGATTTCTAGGACGTTTTAGAGAAAACAAAAACAGTTCTTTTGAAGTCAAGTTCAGCAAAAATATTATGCACAATTAATATTTTGTCTGTTGTAGAAAGCTCTTAAAATCACCTCAGTTTGAAGAAACACTTCAGCCAATTTCTGACAAATCAAGGAACAAACTGCTAGTCCAAGCAGGGTCAATCATTTAAAGGATATTGTATTTTATAACTTGCACTTTACAAAAACAAGTTACTTTTTTTGCTGGCAGAATGATGATATTCCTGTGGAAAGTGCCTCAGGGTGTACCAGACATGATACAGCTAGTTGCTAGTTCAAACTACTGGACTCTATGTGGCCCATGACACTGAACCAAAGATTGTCAGATTTGTGCAATTTTCACATGAGTTTTAGCTACATTTTTATACCTTGATCAGCCCGATGTCATGAGAGATTCCAGAGATATGGCTTAATTTGTCTTGTTAATTGGGATAATCCCTGGAAACTTGGTCTGAATTCTATTTTTTTCCACAGTCTAATAATTATTTCTTGATATCATTTGAATGTCATGCCATGCTTTCAAACACTCTTTGGTATCATTCAAACATTTCATTTACAAGACTTATTGCAAAGTTTGCAAGCAACACCCGATAGCTGCTTAAATCTCTATAACTTTGCAATTTAAGCCTCAGTTCCAGGTGATGGGTCACAATTAATTTATTATTAATTTAATGCTAAACGGATGCATTGGAAATGTTTATACAACTGATGAAGTTTTCTGGATGGAAGGTGAAACGTCTCAGCACAACAAAAAAAAAGAAACCGTCCTGATGACCTGACTGAAAATTGTTGGATTTTATACCTGGATTATTGAGCATGGACTTTG